AACCCAAAAGTAATCACAAATCTTTTGTTTAACTTTTACTTTTCAAAAGGCTTTCGTAAATTGAGTGTAATGAAATTGTGTCAAGGCTTTTATTTCTGAGGCGCATTGATTTGATAAAATTAGTAGAACTTGATATTTTTCTTTTCAAGAATACCTCATTCCTATCATTTGCATAGACTTCTAGGTGAAACCACGATTTCTGTGCAATTTTAAGAGCTTTAAGAATTATTATATTAATTTCTAGAAATTTTGTGCATATTTTTTTAATGATTCATGCTCACATTTTCATTGCAAACGACACTTTAACTGTAATCGTCATTACAAAAATATTGATTCAAATTAAATCTCCACGCTTTCCTTTGCATAGTTTCGATGCTGCTGCTCACACGTGCAGCAGCCTATGCACATTCTTGGCTAATCAAGGTGAATTCAAGAAATAATTAAATAATTGCCAATTACCTATTGACATATACACATACGTACACATATAGCTGTAAACGACACATGTGCGACAGAGGTACTACCGCTTCAGTCACTATTTCATGATTTTTTTTTATTTATAAACATGTGCTTTGCAATATTGAGAATTTGTAAAAAAAAATGGTAAAAAAATTGTGAAAAAATTCTGAAACAGTTTTTTTTGTAGCTAATTAAACAATTATTATTAAAATTATTTGTAGTAAGAAATTATACCCTTCTTTTAATTTCTACACATGTCTAGTTATGACTGAGAATAGTTTCTTGAAAAGAAGGCTTCGAAACTTTAAAGCTTTTATGATCATACCAAAATTAAGGTATTTCAATCTAGGATTATATTATCAACCTCATATCTGAAAAATGTTGGGAGGGGCTATATGACGATTTCGATTATTTTTAGAGTCAATTTTAATTTTTATACCTGAACAAATCTGTTTAAAGGGGCACACCTAGTGTAATGGTCTAAAAAGAGGTGATTTTTGTGAATTTTTATTAAAAAAATACTTTAGCAATTATTTCAAAATTTTAAGAATATATTTATACGTATTTCAATAATATACAGTGAAATTTTTTAAGAAAAAAATTAAATATATTTTAAGTTATAGTCGGTCTTCAACGGCGCAAAAAAAAGTTCCTTCACTGCTGCAGTGATTCCGGCCTTCTTCGTGGACGAAATCTAAAAAAAACTCTTTACTAGATAATATTGTCTGTACAATGACCTACGATAAAAAAGTCAAACATTGCCAATAACAAAAATTTTGGTCGATTTTCAATCAGATCAAAAATCGATAGGCCATTGTACGGAGAACCATATACATATAAAACATGTAAAAAAAATTCGATAGTGATCGGATTATTTGTTTTTGAGTAATCACTGCAGCAAACTCGGAAAATGCTGTTTCGAGAAAAGCACGTTTAAAGGTAAAATGATCGTTTTCTCTCGTAGCTAATGAGACTCTCTAGCGGCCGAGCGAATGCTCTTTAAATTGCTATAACTCAAAAACTATTTGAGATATCGATTTGAAATTTTAATATATTATTTTTAAAGGTATAATCTACCGAAATATGAAATTTCAAACTAGGTGTGCCCCTTAAAGATGGCTGTATGTCGTAGTCGTTTGGTTTCGATCATTTTTAGCATCAATATGTATTTCATCTCATATCTGAAAATTCCAATGGTATACTATACTATATATACTATAATGATCCTAACTGGTCGGTTCTGGAAATGATCGTTTAAGGCAATAGAACCGGAGAAAAAAAAAACGTTTTACCAGCATATTTTTCAAAAGAGAAGAAAATTATTGCGGTAGTCAAAAATTTCAGACAAAAATGTACTATTTTTAAGCTCCAAAAAAAATTTTTTTGGTAACAAAATAATATTGGAATTTTCCTATGTTGTGTTGAGTTTTCTGAAGCGGCTGCAGTCTGAACTCGTCAAACAGTTGAACCATTTTTTTTTTTTTTAATTATTTCTTAGTTTTTCTCCAGTATTAACTAAAAAAAATAGTGAATAAGTTGGAAAATTCCCAATTTTTCGAAGAAAAAATTAACTTTGAAAAAAGAAAAGAAGTTCTGCCCAAGCGTTCGAACCGGTTTTCCATTCCATGGAATTTTTTGAGACAAATGATCAGATGTTTATTTCAATGTAAAGACTTAATTATGGAAATCAATATCAGCCAAAAGTCTTCGCTTACAGGAACGTATCCTTTTTATGAAATTTACCAAATCACAAAGTAACTGTTGTACGCTTCAATAGCTTCGCCAATTCCATCTTTGAAATCTTGAATCCACGTAGACCTGTTGGCGTAGAGCTCATCTTACACGTGGTCCCAAAGCAAGAAGTCACAAGGTATTAAATAAAAAGCTTTCGGTGGTCAACTACCTCTTCGAGAGGTAACCGGAAGAATGTTGCTTGAGTCGAAAGTAAACGCTGTCCAGATCAATAATTTCCAATGCTGGGCATAAAATAAATCTAATCCTCTCTCGATAGCGCAATCCATTTATTTTCGAAAAAGTCAAGTCCAATGACACCGCCCCACGTCGAAAATGGAAAATGGAAGGCTTTTCATCAATAAATCTTAGATTTTCCGAGCCCCAGATGCGGCCACGGTAGCCAAGTGGTTAGCATTGCGTACTGCCTTTCGGAGGGTTGGGGTTAAATCATGGTGTCGTTCTAACATCAAAAAAAGACAATTAATTAAATAAAAATAACAGGTAAATTTCCTCTCCGAGTGTATTTCTGACATGAAAAAAACTATCAGCCATCAACCATCGTCCCTCCTTTTGTTGGAAAAAATATTAAGCCGCAAAACCAGAGATTAGAGGAGGAGATAGGCCGAAAATAACTTCAGCGGATACAAAGCGATAATTATATATGTAAGTGCGACTGTTTTGCTTATTGATGTAGCGATCGAGGTAGAAGTGGGCCTCATCAATCAAGATGATTTTTGGATGAAATTCCGAATCATTTTCATGTTTTCAAAAACCCAATCAGCAAAGACACGACGTTGTTGGAAATCAGCCGGCTTGAGTTCTTTTTTTACCTGAACTTTATAAGCCAATGACCCAAGTATTTACGCAATACACGCTGTAATTATAAAAAATTTGAATAAGAATAGCAATAAACTCAAAATATTCAGAAGAGAGGATCAAACTTTGAGAAGTAAGCATTAGCTATCTCTAGCCAACATACACAGCAATGGTATTCTTCAACATGAGATACAAACCACTTTCGTTTAAACTTTCACCAATGAAAGACGCGGATAGCACTCTCTCACTCTTTCCACCTCTCAATCCCTCTCTATAACTCTTTCCATCTCTCTCGCACTCTCTATCTCCCTCTATCTTTCTCTCTCTCACTCTCTCCAACACGCTCTCTCTCTCACACTCTCTCCAACACGCTCTCTCTCTCACACACTCTGTCTCATTCTCTATCTACTCAGCTTAAGCGCCTCTGTGAGAGCAAATTTAACTGGAGCTAAAACTTTATAGCAAAAAAAAAAAAAGAAATTTATAACTGCTCTATACGTTGGTAATGCGAGTATTGAAAAAAGATAGTGGGTAGTTGGAACCACACTTTTCAACGCCGCCAACTTCTTGCTGCTGGCAGTAAATAAAATCAGTTTGGGGTTAAGCTGGATAGGATTTAGTCTCCCGTAGCTGCTCTTATAACGACAGCATCTTCACTGGAAACTTTTCTAAGCTTTATGCTACTAGACCTCTACGGCAAACTCCAAGTGGGCTACAACGCAGTTAAATTGAACATTACTCAGTCTTGGCGAAGTCGAGATTTATGACACGCTTGGATACTGTCTTGGGCACAAGATTTCTAAAAGTCAGACTACATAACCTCGAAATTTCGTCTCTCTTTTCCACTAAGGTCCCTGAGAAGGGCGTATGGAAATTGTAAGTGTTTTAGATTGAGGAGCACTAACCATTTTTACAGACGGCTCTTAACGTAGTTTGTTCGCGTGAACAAGCAGGCTGCTTTAAGATCTAAACAGTGCAACTTTAATACGTCCAAAGTGGCTTTAAAAGCAGAGAAGTACTCTAAATACACTACCGAGGAAGTGCAGCATGGCCGTGATCTGGGTACAGCTAGCGAAATTTCAAACAGCAATGCTGATCTGGCTAGCTCCAGACATTTACTTCTTCTGGACATAACAAGTTAACACTGTTCACTGTTTCATGGAAATTCAAGGTAGGGGAATGTAAAGTTTTTCAATTGATTTTTGTCGCAGCTGCAGGGACGTATAGGAAAAAGAGTCTCTCAACTACTACCTCTGTTTTTATCCATCATTAAGCACTATGAGAAACCACTTTCACGCTGAACTCGTTTCCTGCTGTCTCGTTAATGTGGCAGAACAGTAGGTCAATAGGCCCAAGCATGTTTAGTTGACGAGCTCGACATCCAGTTTTTATTTGCATTTGCTGCGCTGAACTAACGCATTAGACCTCCGAAAAGCTAGCATTTTCAAAAATGAAGAAATATGAGATAGGAAATTCGGTCAGTTGCCTCAAAAAGGAGAGGTATGTGATATTTAACCAGTTCTCTCGGAGTCTTATATAGGATCCAAGGCACATAAATATACCAGTTGGCGGATGAGCTTATAGGGAAAGACTTTTGCATGATGGAAGAGCCTGGGCATACCACCTTCTACCACGTAAGATAACCGTAAGGGAATTATTCTTTGCAGATGCTACTTGCGATGGAAGAGTCTACATTGTTACAAGGTCACGAGGGCTTATTTCGCTAAAATAAAAGGAAATATCTGCAATTTTGGTCGACACCTAGAGACACTGCTCGTAGTAAAGACTTCTTCAGGAGCTCTAGAGGGGAAGATGAACCTGAAACTTTACCTTTGCGAATGCTGAGGCTCTACAAGAGTAGGCTGAGTAGATCCAAAGATGCTGTTGGCTTGTGAACTGCACCTCATATGTCAGGAAGGATCTCCCGTAAGCCATTTCGTGTAATACTGACTCATCCATTATTATTTTTTCATTGAGGCTTACACCACAAATACTTTCTAATTAAATTTTTATTGATTTCTGTTAAAAGTAATTCTTAAATTAACATATTTACACTTACGACGCTATATTTAAAAACTAAAATTATTTTCATAGAAAATTTCAAAATCACAGTTTTATTGACGCTTTTTACGCGACACCTCCGCACCTTTCCGCTGCAGAAGTCTACCCAACAACCTTAAGACCTTCAATGGCAACCAAAACGCCAAAATGACAACCAGAAGCGCACAACCAAACACATCCAAGAGCAGATACTGATAGAGCGGCATATAAGCGCCATAAGACTTCAAGTGTGGCGCACCCTTATGCCTAGCAATGTATTCCATCCAGAAGGTGGCCTCGTCCAAGGGATGTAGAGGATTATCTCTAAACTTGCGCGAAGCATCCAACGCCTTCTGCTTGTAACTCGGATCGCTTATGAGCAGCTTAATATTCTGTACCAAATCCTCACTAGACATTGTGCCAAAATTGAGTGTGCGCGCATAGCCTGCTCGCACCGACTTGATGGTGTTACGATGTTGGTCGCCATAGAGTGGTATGCTCAACATGGGCACACCCCAGTGTATGCCTTCTTGTGTGCCAAAGATGCCACCGTGTGTGATGAAGACCTTTACATTAGGGTGTGCAAGTATATCGTTTTGTGGCAACCAACTTTGTATCTTCACATTCGGCGGCAGGTGTCCAACGGATGAGTTTTCAAATTTCCAGAGAACATCTTGTTTGAGTTGACTGAAGGCGCTGAGTATAAGATTGATTTTCTCCTTGGGCATGTCGATACTTTTCATGTAAGAACCCAGGCTGAAGTAGACGACGCCGTGTGTGGAGTTATCCAGGTAATTCTGTGTGACGGATAGAAAGAGAGATACGGAAAAATATATAGAGTATACGAAAATAAGGAAATAAGATCAGTGGCATCTTGCAACAAACCTGCAAATCTTGCGGTAGAGGCTTTGGTGTCTTTATATGTATGCCGCCAACATTTATCAAACCCGGCATGCTAGGTCGCGGCACATCCAAACTGCGATGACTGTTTATCAACATCAACGAAATGTTCTTCTCCAACTGACGTACATGCGGCAGTGGACCCTCAATGAGACCACTAAAATGTCTCTCCGCCATCTCTTGCATTTTCGGCATATAATACCAACGTCTCATGACGGCATCATACAGTGATAAATACGTATTGTAGGCACGTTGGGTAAAGCTCATTTGATCTGTATGCGACAGTAGAAGATGTGGTATGACAGCCCAGGGTGTGAGCAAACCCATCGTATGATCCATATTATCAGCATAACCCATTGTACCCAACGTCGCGATGGGACATTTGAATTTATGCGCAAACATCAGAAAACTCTCGTGGAAAAATTGCTCCATAACCATTAAATCGAAATCCAAATTTTTACTCGCGATCAGTGATTTGACTTTGGGATCGTTGAGCGCATGTTCGGTGGTTAGGAGACCCACATGCCACCACATTTGTAGATTCTGAAAATCGCTGGCGAAACGCATTTTGAATATATTCTCTTTAGGAACTGCGGGGAGTATTCAAAGAAAAAAGGTGTCGACCTCTAAAAATACACACTAAGGAAAGAGCTTACTCACAATAGTAGGGTATATCGAATGGTGGATCGATTATGATCTCCGTCAGATTTTCATGTTGATATTTAGCGCGGTGATTTGTCACAGCTGTCACATGATGACCGCGCTGTAGGAGTTCGCGCAAGAAGTGCTCCAACCACATCCAATGACTGGGCGCTGGAAAGGGTCCCATAAATAATATGTTGAAAGCGTTGGATGTAATTGGCATTAGCAATGCCGCCACAGCGAGTAATAACCAACAAAGTTGCATCTGGAAAGAGTATGGAATATAAAAAATTAATTATAATGAAATAAAAATATCAACTAAATAATGCGAGAAGCTGTTCCCTGCCTACATTATCCAATTAAATTAAATTTTATATAATTCCCAAACTAGCCAGTCGAATGTTGTGTACTCGGCTCCTGACTTCGCAACTGACCGAATTCGGACTTAGTTTTTTGAAAATTGAAATATAAAGACCACGTAAAAGTAACGTTAGTTAAAAATCTTGGATTTCCCTACCTTTCTGTCAATGGTATACTAGAGAGCTAATAAGCCGCTGGACTGAATGTTGGCGGAAAGAACGTGCTGCCTGTATCTTCGGTGTCTCCCCTTCCAGTAGATAGAAACTGCTTCATAGTTAAAAGAAGATCTCAGCGTTGGACAATGTATTTGGCAGCTTATGGATGTTTAAAATTCAGCACAACCGTGACAGATTCTTTAACCGAGGGATGGCTTGCTTGATACAGAATTCGTTCAAATTATATTAAAATCTTTTCAAAGTTTATATTTCCTAAACAGTTTTGAATTAAAAGTTCTACATAACCATCTCGACTTCTTTCTGGCGAATTTAGGTGATGAGAGTAAAGAGAAATGGGAAACTTGTCATCAAAATATTGAAGAGTTTGAAAGAAAATATGAGTGAATAAGGAGCGTTTCAATGGTTGTAGACTACTGTTGTTCGCTCAGTTAGACCTTCCAGAGGTTTCATACAAGCGAAAATGTAAAAAAAAAGCGTCTCACTGGGAAAAAGAATAAGTTTTTCTTCTCACTTATGAATGTAGTTTTTATGAATTATTAATTATTTTAATTATTTTTTTAATTTTTAGATCGCAGCTTGTTTGAAGGAGATAACTTCATTCTTAGAAAACATACCATTCTGGATCAAAATGAATGCATATTCGGACTTAGGACAGCCAAATCCATGAGATTTGTGCAATAAAAAAATAGTAATTATTGAAATTTCTTTTCATTTTCTTGAGATTATTCAATGAGGATGCATTCTACATTTCGTTGATAATCTGATCAGGTAGCAGCATTTTTCGCATGTTTCCCAAGGTCAGATTCTGCAGGTTAAATGGGAATTGTTCGGTGGATACACTTTCCTTTTAAAAAATAAAAACAATTTTAAGACATCTCTGAATACCAAACTATTTCTATTTTTATTGGAGACGGTTGTAATACATTCTGAACTTTTTTTAAGATAATTGCTTGGTTTGCTGACGTAAAGCTTTAAATTATCTATGAAGAAATGATGACTCAATCAAAATCTTGCAGTGATCAAGCTAATACCTGTGGAAGATTCCGCTACTCGTATACGGAGTAATTTCAGGTCGAGGCAATTTTAGCCGTATTAACCCATGTTCGCCAAAAAATGATTATATTGAGGTTGAATTTATACAAATTAATCACTTTGATAACCCGTGATATACAAATTTTATTTTTTTGTTTTTTTTATTCTATGCTATTTTATTTTATTTTTTTTTTNTTTATTTCATTTTATTTTTCTTTAATTTATTTGATTTTAATTTATTTAGTTTAACTTAATTAATTTTTATTTTATTTTATTTTATATTATATTATTTTGTTTTATTTTATTTTAGTTATTTTATTTTTTTATTTAATCAAATTGTTTTAAGTTATCTTAATTAATTATATTTAGTTTAGTTTTATTTTATTTTACTTTATTTAACTTTATTTTATTTTATTTCACTTTATTTTATATTATTTTATTTAATTTTTTTTATTTTATTTTATTGTTTTTTAATTGAATTTTTTTTTAGTTCATTTTATTTAATTAATTTTATTTCATTTTAATTTATTTTAGTTTGATGTATTTATTTTTATCTCGTTTGATTTAAGTTATTTAATTTTATATTTTATTTGATTTTTTTAATTTATTTAATTTAATTATATTTTATTTAATTTTGATTTATTTTGCTTTTTATATTTTAATTTATTTTATCTATATTATTTTATTTTATCTTATATTATTTTATTTTATTTTACTTTATTTTATATTATTTTGTTTAATTTTTTTATTTTATTTTATTGTTTTTTAATTGAATTTTTTTCAGTTCATTTTATTTAATTAATTTTATTTCATTTTAATTTATTTTAGTTTGATGTATTTATTTTTATCTCGTTTGATTTTAGTTATTTAATTTTATATTTTATTTGATTTTTTTAATTTATTTAATTTAATTATATTTAATTTAATTTTGATTTATTTGCTTTTTATATTTTAATTTATTTTATCTTATATTATTTTATTTTATTTTAATTTATTTTATAATGTATTATTTTATTTAATGTTATATTATTTTATTTTATATTATATTATTTTATTATTTCTTAATTGATTTTAATTTTTTATTGTATTTTATTTCATTAATTTTATTTTTTTTTTGTCTCAGTGTAGTTTATTTTGCATAATATATTTCATTTGCTGTATTTAATTTTAAAAGATATGTATCTTTTGTTCTTTTTTTTTTCATTATGAAAAAATATTTCAATTAAGTGCATGCATATCTGGTTTTATTTTTTTGAATTCGTCTTTGTTACACCCTACTTTTTACTTACAGCTGACAGCTTATCGTGGACACGTGTGTTTGTGTTGAAGTAAGAAATGATAAAATAAATCATCGTGTGATATATGATATTAATCTAGAATTTTTGTGGGCGGATATCAATTGCTGCAGCGCTCAAATATTTATATATATTCAGGTGTTGCTGTTAGACAACAGCGGCTTTATTTTATTTACATATTTATGTTAATAAAACTGATGGCGAGCTAAATGCAATTTGACACCGTAATTACATCATTTAATGTAATCGAATTCGCTCCAATTGATATACTTTAGGATGCCGACTATCTACATATATGTAAGAGGTATAAGTTTCTCTTATACCCACTACAAAGCTATAGACGATTTTATTTACATATTAATTAATTTTTAAGTATCAGCAACTGTCTGTCTGAGAAAAATCTGACCTTGATATGTTTAAGATTAGCGGAAGGAAGAAATATACGAGGTATTATCAATCACATATCTCACTTTAAGTAAACGTAAGCAACAGTCTGACTATATCACTTATCAGCTGTGTTGGGTATAATAAAAAATTAAATGAAAAAATAATTAATAATGCATAGTGAATAAAATTTATAGAGTTTGCATTTCCTTATTTCCCTAATAATGCAAGACTCGTAATAAATTAACATAATGCGCCAGTTCACGCTTAAGTAAATTGATTAATCAGATTGCACGGGTTAGGGTAAATATGGAAATCAGTTGTATAAGTAATATGTATGTAAAGGCAAAATATCATGAATTAAAAACAACAGCTACTTGTGCAGAATTTATTAATCAGACTCGTTACAATTTTGTAAGCAAAGGTGATATAAAAAAAATTAAAAAATGATTAAAAAATGCTGATCGAGTTTGGAACTTCTTTGAGTACGGAATACATGTACAAGTGACAGGAAAAAGCAACAGGTTCTACCTTCGAGGCGTTCTTTTGCTTGGGTGGGCAACAGTATCGGCTGCCGATATGCGTCTAAATATTATATTAACTTACGTGCTAGATTTGTTGCTATTTTTGCATGTAGATGCAAACAGACACAAACATAAGAAATATTATACGCGTACAAAGCACTTAAGAACGTAAGTATTTTATTACCTTGTTTTTTATGATTTCTTACGACATTTTTATTTTTAATTTTCAAGCTTTTCTGCGCATAATTTCCTACACTCCAACAACTAGGTTAGACTTATCAGACACCGATTGAATGTATAAACATATAAACATATCATTAATTATCGGCCGTAAAATCGCTTTAGTCCATTATTCTTTCGCAAGTACTCGTGCATACATACATACATACATATGTCCATGGAATTTGTCTGCGTTTCGTATTTGATAAAAGTTCGTTTTGGCTGGCATAAAAGGTATGTTTGAGTTTTCAATTTCAATTAGTTTCATTTATTATCTAGATTAAGTTTTTAGTTTTTAGATTATGTACGTTGTGATTTAATTGAGAGAAATCGGTCTATTGGTTAAGAAGAATATGAAATATTTGGACAAATATTGCAAAATAACATATAAAAGATGAGTAATATACTCGTAAGCTAACGGTTTATTTATAATGAAAGATTTGTTACAAATTTCAATTTCTATTTTAGCGGTAGTCGATGAACGACCTGACGTTATAAGCATAGCTTCAGGCCGCCAATCTCTGTGCAGTTTGCTTCCAAAATTAAATTTATTTGCTGCCGTTCGACAGACGGGGACCTATGTAAGGATTAATAGCTTGAATTGTATAATTAAATCTTTTTGAAAAAAATAAAATGAGCTGGAAGTCAAAAAATTCAAAGATTCATTGGAAATGGAAAATTATTAGATTTATTATAACGCACATTATTTTTATGTTATTGTAATTTAATTAAAATTATTTTGGAATTTTTTTTTTCTATTAAAAAAAAGTTGAGTATTTTTTTTGCATTATACGACGACAGAGGATTAAATTAAAAAAAATAACTCCTTAAATATTAATAGCTATTTTAAAATCGTTTGAAAAATAATTTTATTTTTTTCTACCTTTATGGTACTTTTCTGTAAATGAATCTAAATTTTTACTCGAAATTAAATTTTATTTTTTATTTTTTGTTGGAGATATTCGTTTGCCTAACACTATGCATGTCAAACTATTTTTTATATACTGTCATTTTCTCACATTTATAATCATAATTCTATGCTTTTGTTCTTTTATTCCTTTTGTAATTTGACACTTTCTTCTAGACTAAAACCTCGTGGAGTAAAGATCAACTTGTAGTTTATCTGTAAATAAATATTCAATTATCTCTGCAATCCCGGAGTTTTTCGAAAAAGAGCTGATTTTAGAAACCCTTGGTTGGGGAAATTGCTTTTATTTTACTTCTACTACTTTTCCGTGCTATATTTTGATGTAAATTCATAGATTCAGAAGAACTTTTTTAAAATCAAATATATATATATCTAATACTTACATGTACATTTTAAGTTTTTTTATAATTTATATTTATATTTCAAATTTTTAATTTCTAAAGACCTCTTTCAAAAATTTTTTTTTCTGAAATTTGAATTTCACTTTATATATTTTAAATTTATTACCAATAACATATATCGCTCGATTTATTTATTATTGTAAAATTTTTTTTATTTTTTTTAGAAAAAACTGGTTTAGTATTTATTAAAACAATATAAAGTAAAACTCAGATTATTATACATAAATACGAACACATACAGAGTGCTCCTTCTTTCAAGTCGGTATGTAAACATTGAATATCTTTGAGAAAAAACAACTAATTGCTATAAGTGATGTATTTTTATTCAGTGTGGTTTCTTACATTTTTTTTAGGACTAGCCTTTGAAATCAATATCAATCAAATGGCTACCTTTATTAGTAATTACAAAATGACTAATTTTTCTACTTTTGCCATTACCTTTCCGAGCACCTCGGGTGTTCTAGCGTCGATTTCAGCACGAATTTTTGCCTTGAGCTCATCAATATGTTGAAACTGGTTGGCATAAACCTTGCTAATCCTATAAAAAGAAGTCCAGGCGGGTTAAATCTGGTGATCTGTCAGATGTGTTGTCTTTTTGCCGCGATATTTTTTCCGATATGCACGTTGAGTTGACACAATAGAACGACTGTTTTCAATGGAAAATGTGACTATTTCAGCGCTTTGCTTCGGTGTGAAGCGATACATGGCTAAAATTGTACCGAATCGACGTTTCAAAAACATATCTGATGCAATTGCTCCATTAGTTAAATATGTAAGTTATTCAGAGTTTACATACCGACATAAAAGATGTACATATGTATTGTATAGAATTAATTTTTTTCATAACTTTTGGTAAATGTATAAATTAAATAAATATTAAATGAATATAAATATATTTCAAAAAAAGAATAATTTTGAAAGGATTTTTCGAACCCTTGATATATTTTATTTGCAGTTTAATTTTAATATTTTTTTTCACCATAAAACTCTAATATTTAAAAAAGTTTAATTGGGTTTCTTTGCATATTGCTCGGCGACTATGTGTCTTGTCAAAATATTATGCAATATACCTGTTAAATTCATTTTTAGAGAAACATGTGACTTTAAAATAATAAAATTATTATGAATTCTTTTTGGCAACTGCTAATAAAGTAAAAGTTAGTTAAAAAATAAATAATAAAAAAAGTTATATTATATTAAAAGTTTTTTGCTGATGCACGTATCTGTTTAAATT